AGAATTTCTGTATCCAACTATTATTATTATTATAAATTCTTATTTAGAAAATAAAACATGTTTATTAATTGGCGGTATTTGATCTTATGACGTATGACACATATTATTATAATAATAATAACGTGGAAATGAAACAAGAATGTGTTCTGTCAGAGATGTTTTTTTTTTTATAATTTATTTAAATAACTTATTTAAAATCGATTATAATTAATAATGTATTTACTGAGAACACGAAAAATAGTCTTAATCGAAAACACTATGAGAACTACTTGAATGCTTTTTTTTGTGACGTTATAGTGACTAATAATTCGTTCTGGTGTGATTGAGCCGCAGGCGGAATGTTTTTTTTACTAATTGTTATCACACAAAATCAAACATACCAGTATTGTAATTGCTCGGACAAAATTATATATATAATATTTTATTTTTTATCAATGGTTTGTCCTTGTTAATATCTTATTTATAATATTATAGATCTTATCTGCGATGTTAATACATTTTTAAATGTATAAAACATAATATGTTATAAATGAAACCGTTATTAGTGTTTGGCGAAATTCATTGGCTATTCCGTTTTGTAGAATTATTGTTACATCAACACAATGAATACTTGTAGTATTTTTCATTCTTATAAGAATTCTATTTTCATTACAAAAAAAGGGCTGTACTGTAACATTATTAAATTATATAAAATATTTTATAATAAACCTTTATAACATAATATGTTGTAATGATATTATCTTTATAACTTTTTAACTATGAAAAAATACCAACCTGCTAGGAACTTTCATTTTTACAATTTAAGCATAATAATTTTCCGAAAAATACCATTTTCATTATTCAAAGATATTTAATAATCGTAAAGAAAAATTAAAAAATATTTAAATCTAAATGCAACATTTTTTTTTTTTAATAAAAGTATAGGAATACATATTTTGATCTCTGTGTTAACACTGATAAACACATACTAGACCAGCATATGTTAAGCGACTAGCTTGAAGCGAGTAAATGATTTTTTTAAGAACATTATTGATGTATTATTAGAGTATATAATAATGTTATTATTTATTTTTAACCAATATATTTAAAATGTTTTTCTTAAATTTAAAATAATAGGAACTACATGTAAAACAATTGTCACCATCTTGTACTAAAACTTAAAATTGAGATTTAGTGTAATAATTAGAAATAAAACTAAAATTAATTAATCATGAACATATATATAATAAGATGTTAATAAAAAACTATTTATCAAGATTCGTTTCATAATCTAGATACTGGTTTAAAAGCCAGAAAAAGCTATATTCACAAATTTACAATATTTTAATAAAAACATTACATGTTTAACTGATATTAAGCTTAGTTATTAATCAAAGACTTTGGAATCTTACTGGAGAGTTTATTAGTAAATAGGAGTATATACATATTTATAAAAATGTTTGTTTTTCGAAAACATACTCAAACGAACCATACATTATTAAGTGCTCATCGATGATTGAATACTTAAAAGCCTTAAGAGAAACTCATATCATTATTTTGGATATAAATAGATAACTTTAAAGGATTTTCATATAAGTCTGTTCACTCTTAATCCAGATAGAAACGTTTGACCAAAGTTTAACAGCAATAATAAATTCTTGTAAATGAAGAATTTATTAATAATAATCAAATTTTCTTGGTTTATAATGGTATTTATTTATTTTTATCACTTGCAAAAACTTTTTTTATATGTGTTTGTATCTAAGAAAATGACGAAGAGACGAATCAGTATTGAAACTTAAAACACTATTATAATTAGTAGTGGTTATAATTTAACCATTACATTTCGTATATGAGAAAAATGTAATTTACAAATACATAAAAATGGTGTTCATAACTTGTAAATTTCTAATTTTGAATTTTATGAAAAGGGTATTTTTTATGTTTGTTAAAAACGCGGGATGTAAAGTACATTCGAGACTCGTTTATTACATGGCTTAATAAAGACGTAACGATTACTTTTGCGTGACCATATTGAATTCCCTAGAATTCAACAAGTAAAACACCCCAGTAGGTCAATAAGATAGAAAACAATAAATGGTATAGCATTACATCGAATACGTTGCTCATAAATTGATGATGTTTACCTCATTGAGGACCTATATTCATTTATTAATTTACTAATGTTGCACTATGGCTGATTTTTATCCCATTTTTCAATTTTTACTGTATTTAAATCTATGTTTCCTCCAAAGTACTCCCAAATAATCCATCTCGTCGTCACAAAAGGCGATGGTGTAAACACCAGAAATAGTAAAAAAAAATATTTAACTCTAAATTAATATCCTGCCACTGGATGACCTTCCTTCTCAGTTCATTGTAAATAACAAGCTTTGTATTCTACATAATCAAGGACTTAGCATTTAAAATCATCGAAATAAGCGCTAAAAAACTTCATTATAAGCCCTCAATAAAGCACTTACAAACATTGAAAAACACTATTTCAAAAATGTCCCATTATTAACACTAGATATTTGTGCCTACTTTCCAAACTACAATAAACCCCAATAACAAAAAAAAAAAAAACAGAATTATGTTAAATTAAATGAGTTTAATTAAAAACAAAATAAAATCAGATTAAATCTTTTATAAAAAAAAACATGAACTAACAAGGTTTCTTGACTTTCTTGAATTTATGGGTTTTCTGAAAAAAATAATATTTTAAATAATAGCTGAAAAACAATTAATTTTATTATCAATTAAATGTATATACTTAAAAATGTTTCTTACCTTCATTATTGCAATTAATAAATAAGTATTTTCTGATGTTTTCAAATATAAAATACCGCCTGTTGTTCGACAGTATGGGTTTATAAGCTGAGAGTGTGCGCTCGATATGAACTGATGTAATAGGCGCATATTTAATGTAATCTATTTCGTCCCTGGAAAGTCCTCGGGAAAATCGCTGAAGTCATATAGTTCACTTCCATGTTCACCGTCGAGTATTTTTCTATAATTCTCAAGATGTTTTTTTTTCTCAACAACTTTGTTTAGTTTGGTAATAATTGATTTTCCGTGATTACCTTTTAATGTAGAAAATTTCTGTTGTACATTTTGAACCACTGCTAGTGAATCGCATAGTAAAACATCTTTTTTTGGCAGTATTATAATTACTTTATTATTATTACTTGGGCTTTGGTAAGAATTTCAAAATTACTTTTTATACGAAATACGGCTTCGTATAAGTCAAATTTGCTTCTAAACTTGTTCTCAGTAAACATACGTTAACTTTTTTTACTCTGTCTGCGTTGTTTTCATTTAAACAGCTTACAACGTGACGAATTTCTTTAAAATTGCAGCCTCAATCCAAAACCCCCCACGGGTAACAATTGTTGCAGGGCCAATTTTATACCTGGAGCCTTCAATTTAAATAATTCAACACGAGATAGAGCTTTACGAAATATTTTTTTCATATTTGATATTAATTCATCTGCTGTACCTAATTGTCCACGAATTTTTTTGGCAATTCTCTGTAGTCCGTACAACAAGTAACGTGAATATTTTTTGTATATAAGAAACGTATATTTTTAAGAACAGTACCTGATTTTACCATATAGCCAGTAGCAACTGATAATAATAATAAAACATTACTGTATTTTTTATCACCAGGCCATATTGTTTTTTCAAATAGTTGAAAGATTGGCTTTTTCTAATTCTTCTAAGTGTAGTAAAAGTATACTTCCTGTACAAAATGGTCTAAAAACTCCCACAATAACGTTGGCTATAAATCGTCCTTCAACATCACATGTCTCATCAATTGACACCCAAATGTTGTTTTGTTGGATTTTCATTTTATCCATAAAAGTATTAAAAATGTCGTCAATATAACTTTTTCTTGGTGTCGATTCCTTTTGGATACTATTACCAGTATATTTCTATAAAAATGTTCTAAATATATTGTTAGAATGCTTATTTAACGGAATATTGGCAGAAACAATAGCTTGGCATAAATCCATATTGAAATTTTATTTCGCTGAATTTTGATTGATTAAAAGTGATTGAGCTTTATTTTGCGCATATTTTTTGTGTCGCTTGATGCTTTTAATGTGTTTATCAGTTCTTAATTATTAATATATATATATTATAACTTTTTTTCACACTTTATCTTGATCTCACACATTATATGATATAAGATATATGATAAGACATGCCCGTCTGTGGACAAAATTTCATACCCGAATTCTAAAATGTATTTTTTTAAAAACACACTAGTTGATACTTTTTCTTTTCCCATTTTATATCTCGTTAAATTTAATAAATAACTTAAAGCTTCCTATAAAATGATAATTCACAGAATGTTTTTTGACTGGGTTCAAATGATTTTTATGAAAAATATCACCAAATCTAAATGTATACCAAATGATACCATAGAAAATTATCATTAAAATGTAATATCTTGTAAGGTTATCATTTTATATAAATGATAAATATTTAAAATGCAATATTTATTTCTCATAAAAATATTTTATCATTTTCCATTTATAATTTACGATTTAATAACTTCACTGCTAAACATTTTTTGACTGGTTTTATATTTATTTTTCGATTTATTCAACTTGTTATATAATATTAACAGCACACACAAAAGTTTAAATTCGGTTGATACCTATACCATGTGTTCATCACCGACAGCATCATTTTCATTGTATCGATATGTAGTTGGTTCAGTAGTGCATTGTACTTTTATAAAAATGATAATTTCTGTAATTAGAGAACTTCCATAACTATGTATACTAATACTGCTGTTATCAAAATTATTAAGACAATGATTGACAATTGTCGAGAAGTCTTTTCTCGACAGTTTTTAACTAAAATAAAAAATGAATTTCTAGAAAGTGGCTGTGGTGGATTGTTTTGATAGTACTAAAAGGTGTTAATATTTTTGTAGAGGGCGGGCTGTTTGGTTTTATTTAACACCTCATATATTTTCTGAACTAACAACGACCACTAGTTGCTGGAAAAGCAGTAAAAGTTATGCACCGCCAGTAAATAAATTTGACACGCAATCAAAGAACAGTGTACCATCGCGATGTATGCCGTCCGATCGTGTGTACTGTTGCTGTTGGTGGCGGCCAAAAACGTGTTGAATTTTGAAGAGCTGAACGTAACGAAGCCAGCACCACTTTGCTGTAAGACGCCCGGTGGCCAACCGGCATTGGCTAAGTGTGTAGGTACTGTTTTCGGTACAGTATTTAAGTTCAACGAAATAGTTCCACTTTATGGTTCGGTCATCGACACGGACAATTGCAAGAATGGTGCGACAGCAGACGAGACAGATAAAATCGGCGCTATAGTGGCTTTACAAAAATGTTGTCCGTCAAGCAAGTGGTACGATGTGACGTCGAGCTCGTGCCGATTTCGGCCTAAAACCGACGGGTGGCCTAGACTGATCGACGTGTTGCTCGATCTAGACCGGAGTACAGCCATTGACGTTAACGATTCTTGGGCGGTCGGCTACAATTACAATTTACCCAAGTGCAATAAATCTGATGTGATTGTTGATTTGCCGGTAGAAGTGAACGCTTACCGTATGTTGACCGGTAGTCCAAACGACCGGTGCGTGGATTTTAAACTGGCGCCTCGATGGCATCAGACCAATGGTCTAGTGATGCGCGGGTGTCGGCCTAGACGTGACCACTGTAAAAATAACACTTGTGTCAGGAAATGCTGCTTACCAAACAAACTCATTGTCGGAGAGTGAGTTTTTACATATTTAATGTTCTTCAGTATTAAATGTGGTTTTTTAATAATCTTATACAATTATAGTATGATGATGCGAATAATGTACTTTGAAAGATTAATTTAGAAAATGTAATTTTTGTGTAACATAAAACAATTTAGTAAAAAAAGACCAGCGACGTAAAATATTTCCTAATTTTTCCCATACGTTTACCAAAGTAATATCAACCATTATAATACCTATGCACTAGTGTAACATTTTCATATCCATTCTAAAAAAAAATAAATACAAACAACTGTTAATGCATACTTTTTTTACTTTCCGTTGTAAAAGATCAAAACCGGTCTATTGAAATATTTCTATTTTTGAGCCCATGAGCAATTATTTGTGTTTTAATATATTAACTAGAGTTTAAATACGCAGTGTTTAAAACTGTGTTTTAAGTGTGTTTAGATCACCAACAACTTTAACGTATATATTGGTCCAATGGGACATTTTGAACATTTCAAACTATTTACTTATGATTTAAACGGGTTTTTTTTAACAACTCTAATTTTAAAAAAAATGATCTAAGGATTTTTTTTTTTGAGGGAAGTTGAAAATTGCTGATTTTTCACATTTACATTTTTTTTGAGGTACTATTATCATTACATATTTTCACTACATGATATTCTTTTCTAAAATGTTTTGTTATGTCATTTGGATTTGACTGTTAATTTACAATTGTTAATACATTTTTGTTAACAATGTAAATATTATCACATTATTTTATAAATAAATAAGTATTTGAATATATATTAGACTACTTTTAAAGGCTAGACTATATTTTTTGAATTGATATACTGTTTTGACAGTTGACTGGTTTAACTTTGGGTTAATAACTATTTACTTGAATGTTTAAGTATAACAAATAGTTAATATGAACTGCTAACAGCTCGAAATTTGTTTATTAGTGTTGTTGTTTTCTTTAGAGATTTTATTTTGGTATTGCGCAATCATCAATTGAATCGTTTTAAAAATAATAATTATTCAAATTGACACCTAAAGCGTTATCTTTTGGTTTTTTAGTAATCATTTTGTACATGCCCACACTAAACCCTAAAACTATGCGTTCATTATGTGCAGTGTTGCATACAACACAGGTCAGAAGCGTTTGTTTCAATGTCGGTCGATTATATTTGACAGCTAGTACTCATTAATAATTTCTGTAATTCTTACGGCAATCTATAAAAAGTATATTCTACTTTTAACTCTTGTCCAATTTTATTTTTTTATTTACTTAGTTAATTATTAATTGATTAATTCGATTATAGTTGGTATGTATTTATCATGTATCATCTCATTATGTATTATTTATTACTTATTAAAAAATATTAACTATTTCGGTGTTAAATATTTATAAGTCAATAAAAATTACACTTGAAAGATACGAATTATAAAATTTTAGTCATTCTTATAAAAAAAAAATAATCTGTTATCTTAAATAACATAATTTAATTTGTCTACGCTACTGTTTAATATGATGACTATCGTAAAAATTCTCCTCCAGCGATTAAAAATTCTTATTAAAAACCAACGTGAGAACCGCCATAAGAAATGTATGTTCTAAATTAACTCCGAGAAGACTTCGTCTGACTAATTTTTATATAAATTCAAACGTATGAACACTATAAATAATTAAATTAAGATGTTTACTTAACTATAAGTTGAAGAGTTATTCAATATTTGCCATAAAAAATTACTAATTGGTAGTAATTTTATCTGAACATTTAAAGATTAACAAATGAGACACTTGACCAAGTTCAATTATAACCGTTAAAAAAAATGTATCTTATCATGTAGAAAATGTTAAATATGACAACGAGTTTATTACATTTATTTTTATACTTTAAAAGTTATTCGCAGCATTTTTATGGGAACAATGACTTTAAATAAACTAGAATTTTGAACAATTTAGGCATACTATAGTCGATTTACTAAAAACTCGAGAATATCAGGGAGTACAATTTCGTATGCAAATACTCACCGAGTTTGAGAATATAAAATTTATTAGTCCAGAACGTGAAACGAATAACACTCCTACATTTATTTTGACAACTATTTTTCTGTCGGCATATTATGGGAAAATATCGAAAGTGTAAAAACGCCATGTAGTTTTAACTCTGATAATGTAACACATCCACAACATATTGCAATAAAGTTAAGATGAATGACAAACTTTTTATACAGCTGTTGTTCTTTTTATTTTATTTTCATCAATTGATAACGTAATGTAATAACATATAAACTTAAGCGTAACTTTTGACTTTTTCACGCAATACTTCGGGGTAAGGTTGGAATTTAATTGTTTAAATAGAAAACAAAAAAGGCTGCGCAGTAATTTTACACAAGTCGCATTAGTCTATAGCGTGTTTAGTTGTTGGAGGACAGAAACACGAAAAATTAGTTTTTAAATAAAACTCTTTTTAAATTACATTTCACATACATATTATTGTGAGATATTTGAATATTTTATGGGTTTTCACAAATCGCATTTATTTGATGTTTGTGTATTAGTCTGTGAAATTGGCAATACTCTGAGATATAATTTTTATGTTGTCTATAAAACACAAAAAAATACTTTATTTATAGTTGCTTTTAATACTATTATGAGTCATAAACATTATGATCAATATATTTTGTTTAAAATATTCATTTTTCTTTTCAATTATTTAATCTTTAATTTTAAATAATAATACTAATAATATTGCACTATTTATTTTATATATATTTGTATATTTTATATATATTTTTAAATTTATATTTACGTCTATTATTGGACTTCGGTGATTGTTTAAACTTTTATTTATGCAAAAGCGAAGAAATTAATTAATCTAAATTTATTCTTACAATTATCCACAGTAAAAAAATCTTGAATACAATAAGTATTTTCAATAATCGCCTGTTTACCTTTACTTTAGTTAGCCATAACTAATTTGGGATTATAAATGTTATGAAGTATTTTTATAGTAAACTGTGAGCTCGTCTTGCCAATATACATTTATTGTCTTTTTCTTTTAGACAATTGACCTTTTCTCTCACTATGACCTGTTTATTATTATTTAAACAATGTCTAACTTTGGGTTTGATAGCCTATTAATTATAAAACGTAATTTTTTATTTAATTGTTTATTGATCATGACCTATACTGATTTTAAATCACTAATGAGTCATACTGATAGACGTCAATACAAATTATACATAAATTAATATTAATCAAGTTTATGATAAATTTATTTGATTGAAAAGATAAAAAATTTTTATTATTTCAAAATATAGAAAATGTAAGACGAGCATAAAATTCTGATTAATTAATATGTGCGAAATTATCTGAAAACATAATGGACGTAGCATGGAAAATTTTTCCGAGTGAGCCTACAGTCCCTACTCTGTACCTTTTCTATCACATTACATCGTCTTTTTCCTTTTCCAGAAACCCCATTTTTAGGTGGCTATGAAATTATTTAAGGCAGTATTTCATAATATATGTACATAAACCCGAACCTCGTACATGGCCCTTAAAGGGGATAGGGAAACATTTCTCCACTCCTACATTGAAAAATACCCAATAACTTGTTTAAATTTTTCATATTAATTGTAAAAAATATCATACAAATCCATACTAATATCATAATAAATATTTCTTATACTTTTTATGGGTAAGATATAAAGATGGAAGCTAGGGAAATGCACGTCATATGTGACTATATTCATGAACACCGTGACCGTAGTTATTACATTTAACTTAATTTAATCCTTGTCCTTGATCAATTTGAAACCAGAATGGAATGATGTTCTAAATTCTATATTTAACAGAGAAGAAATTAATTTTGACTTCAAAAGGCCTAGGTCGTCTGTAATGCTTTATAAAAAAAAAAAAATTAAAAAACACTAATAAGTTTATATTAAACCTTTTTTTGAGTAATTCTTCACATATTAATTATGTGTATAACAGTATAATAAAGTTGAAAGTTTACCACGTAATATTCAATTACAGTAATTTTAATTCAATAGAAGAGACAAACTTGAATTTTTTAATTATATTAATCGCGTGGAAAATATAATGTTATCTTAGTAATTGATCATCAAATATTATAATAAAACCTATAAATGATAAGTGTATTTATATAAAAAAAAAATGTCAAACATTTTTTGTAAATGCATAATTTGTATTTTTGATAAAATAAACATACAAATTTAGAATTAACATCCATAATTTCTGTAACACTAATTAAAAATTATTAATTTATTTATTTTTTTAATGTATGCCTTAATTAACTGAAAATTGATGCCTTACAACAAATATTAATTTTCATATATCCTCAAAACTTGTTTTCCATGTTTACTACAAACTGCTCTTTAAAATAACAGTAATAAAAGATATTTGACGAGCTATAAAAATATATATTGATAAAAATATATACTGCAGAATTTATTTATCTCAAAAATTCATCACTAACAGTGATAATATATAATAGTGGTATATATAAAGGACAAATTATATGTAAAAATTAAAGGAAATGTACTAAAACGGATCTTTCTAACAATTAAGTTTATTATTAGCCACAGAAGTAATTTTCATACATACAATTCGAGGATAACATCTAATAGTATGATTAAATATCACTTGAGTAACAATAACACAGCTAACATCAGTTGAGAATTTTATAACATTTCTTCAAAATTTTAATAATAATTATTATTATTATTATTAAAAAACTGACAATCGAAAATTTTTTTTTTTTAAGTTGAAGCAATATAAAATTTAAATTTAAATAATAATTAGTTATATTTATACAAAAACAGCATCACGTGTTAATTGTTTTCAAATAGAATAGAAAATTTGACGACTCATCAATTTTATATTTAACTTTTAGTTTGTTTATTACTTGTATTTCGCGAAGTTAAATTAAATTAAGCATTTGTTTTGGTTTTAATTTTTCTAAGTTATATATATAAGGTGAGTAATTACGAAAAA